TGTTCATCCTGAACTGGTCAGACTGCAGAATGCCCAGGGCATGTTCATCTGAACTGTTCAGACTGCAGAATGCCCAGGGCGTGTTCATCCTGAACCGTTCAGGCTGCAGAATGCCCAGGGCGTGTTCAGCAGCAGCTTGTTCTTTTGCCCCATTTGATTAGGGGAGACAATCGAAGATGCTGTGCGGAGAGAAGTCGAGGAGGAAAGTGGAGTCAGGGTTGGCCACGTGCAGTACGTCTCCTGCCAGCCCTGGCCCATGCCCTCCTCCTTAATGATTGGCTGCTTAGCCATGGCAGTGTCTACAGAAATTAAAGTTGACAAGAACGAAATAGAGGACGCCCGCTGGTTCACCAGAGAACAGGTAGAGTTCAATTTAATTTCCTTCCTCTATTGATTGTTCCTGATTGTATTGGTTTGGCCACACGGCCAAGACGCATGTTGTCAGCAAGTTGAATGAATGGCTCTGGCCCTCTCATTATGCATGGATTACAAAATAATTGGGTATTCCATGTAGGAAGACGGTGTTTTCACCAACGTGTGCTATACGAACTCACTCTTCTGGTAATGGTGATTCGGTGCCATTTTGAATTTCAGATACCATTCCTTCAGGTCAATGATAATACTTATTGATGTGTATAAAGTTTCAGACTAATGTGTGTAAGCATTAGTTTAAGAGTCAGAAACAGGAATATTATTTTTAAACATTTTATATTTTAGTTTATAGCATTAAGACAAGTAGCTATCAAATCAGTAAAAATGCTTAAAATTTTTGAAAAGTTTTTATTCATTTTAAAATGTACTTATAGATAAATAAAATGTACTTTATTAAAATATATGGTAAAGATAACAGACATTTTTTAATTTTTTTTACACAAAACTTTTTAAATGCCATCCCTAAATAATGTAGGGAAAGATAAATCATTAGTCAATGTTCTGCGTGACCTAAAGCTTTTTGTATGGAAAGCAGGTGGATATACTACAGTAGCAAAGACCTCAAATCCTTCCTGACTGGGCCTACATAAATTTTATTTTATTTTATGCTTAACCCCAAAAGGTAGAAACTAGATTATTGTTTTAGAATTTTATGAAAGAGAATTCTCAAAAGTTGGCTTTACTTTGAAATTAAATGTAGAGCATATGTTTTGCTTTTCATAACCTCATTTTCATAAGAGAATATGCATTTCTGGAACATCTTAAAAAACTGTATCACTAACTCAGTGAAGCAATTAAAAATGCTGTCCCAAATATTGCATTTTGAATCTGGATATTGTCACCTCCTGCTGTTGTGATTCACTGTAGAAGTCACCACATGTAACTGAGCTGTGTAAGCAGGGGATGGATGGCTTTGGAACCTAATGCTTTTGACGGTGTGTTTTAGGTCGTGGATGTTCTGACCAAAGGGAAGCAGCAGGCATTCTTTGTGCCACCAAGCCGAGCTATCGCACACCAGTTAATCAAACACTGGATTAGGATCAACCCCAATCTCTAAGTCAAAGAATCTGGGCTTTGTTTGAGTGTTATTTGGTCTCTGGTGCCACTTTCTGATCGCTCCTCAAGTGGCATCAGGAGTATCCAGTGCTCTTCAGAGTGTTGCACATAAAATACCGTGTCAGACTTTCAAGATATTTTCAAAGTGAACTTTCCATCTTAATCACAAAATGTTGATGAATTAATGAATGTTGATGAAAAACACAGAATGTTTTTATAAATTATAATATTGCCTTAGATTCAAATCTGTGTCAAGCTTCTCTGAACAGATTTGGTTTACACTTCAAAATTTTATTTCTAAAAACCACTTTTCTGATAAGAAACATTATTTTGTGAAGGATTATGTTCTAGAAACATGAATCAACTTAAATTCCAGTGCCTCCTGTAAGTGTTAAACTGATTGTTAATGTTCCTTATTTGAGAAGTGTAACAAATTAATTTTGATGAATTTTGAGCTGGTATTGATTTTTTGTCCTTTCCTTACCGTCAAGGCCCTTTGAGTTCTCAATCTCAGAATGTTGCTTCTCTCCCAGTTCAGTTCCACTTACTTTTCCTCCTGGTTCTCTGGTTCTAGAAGTGCTGGGGTAACAGTGTTGCTGCCAGTCTAATTTGATCAGTGTTTTCTGTTTTAACCATTAACTCTACAAGTGATCTCCATGCCCCACCCTCGTGGAGGGGTAGCGTAAGTGAGAGCACGCTTCGAATCTAGGACCTCCTTTTTAAACCTCAAACTAAGGAATATGTCTACTTACGTGTATTATACTTATACCCAAAGCTTTTGTTAAGACAAATCAAGATTTCTGTTTTTTCACTGAAATTAAATATATTTGAAAATAATTATTCTCAATGATCAGATGTGATCCCATGTAGATTTACATATTTGATTAAAAACACTGGCTTTATTTTACTTTGTGATGAGAGGTGTATCTTCGTCAACAAAAGACTGTATCTCCATCACCAACAATATTTAGTAGACTGTACTTCCTGGATCTGGCCTTATATCTACATATTCTAAGAAGCCCTCATAAAACAAGTATGGTTTTTTGTGCAGTTTTTGGCTGGGGCTGGGTTTGAACTCACCACCTCCGGCATATGGGGCCAGCACCCTACTCCTTTGAGCCACAGGTGCCGCCCAAAACAAGTACATTTTATAACTGAATCAGTAAGATTATAGAAAAAGTAAATTTTAGTTGTTCACAATTTTCCAATATAGAAACTCATATTTTACGAGACTGTTTTGAAATTGCTTTAAAGTATAGTTTATAAAAAAAATGCAAAACATGATATAATTTGACTCTCTGATATTCTGTGCTAAAACTGGAAGAGACTTTAAAGATAACCTAGGGAATTAACTGTCTTTATTTTATACATAAGAAAGAGGAATCCTGAGAGTTATTGGTGAAAGTTATACAACTCACGAATTACAACAGTCTGTACTGGCCAGGACTCTCCTTGTCGAGGATATAGACGCTGTTATTAAATTTATAGAGAGTAAGTTAGAGGAAAGGATGATAGAATGAATTTAACTTGCCAAATATTGTTAATTAAATTTTAGAGACTTAAAATGTATTTAACTTAAATAAGATAACTTTCTCAGATAAAACTTAATTTTATTAATGAACAGTGATTTTCTTTGTCATTAATGAAGGCTTTTTGATATCAGGACTTTAAGACTTACCCAGGACACTGAGATACATAATAAAATTTGAATTACGTGAGTCTGTGGAACATGTGCCCTGGTTGTCGTGTGGTATCACAGCCTGAGGGGCCATTGTACCTCACAGGTGCTTATAGTACTCGCAGATTATAAGAGTACAAAGGAAAATTCCACATTTTCCTAATATTAAGATAGGAAAAGTAAAATATGAAGTGTCCACATATACAAATTTGACTTCAGATATTTAATCCCTTACTTGGAGAAAATCAGCATCTAAGTAAATTGTTGTTTTAATAATTATTCTTCAGTTTCCAGCCTCCCCGAGGTGAACGACTGTGTCATGGAAGGAACAGCCTGTCAGCACACGGGCGGGCTGTGTGGGGATGTGTTCCACTGGGAATCAGAGTAGCAACATGTTAAAATTCTTACCTGCTTTGTTTGGTGGGTTGTGTGTTTTTTAATGTTTTAATAAATTTCTTCTGAAAAATGGAAAAAGCCATATTTCAGTTATTATCTCCTATTTAGAGTTAATGGTGTATCTTATTAAAGTACAAAAGCCTTTTTAAAAGTTTTCATATTTGGAAGACTTAAAATTTATTATTTAAATCTTAATGATTATAGTTCAGGGTCAAATGCATGGTATACATAGGGACTTACACACTGGTACATACATAAGAGGGCCCATTTTTTATGTTCAGGGATGAAGTTACCTATCTAGTATTGTGTGTCTGGTTGTACTCGTCCAATATTACCAATCTTTGCATTTGGAAATGTTCACTTGTTTACTGTTCATGAAGAATTAGAAACCTACGTATTTCATTTAGTTGGAAAAATGGGTAAGTCTTTTAAAGATCCAGTTAGGGATTCAGGTGAAGACAGAGAAGAGGGGGAACAAAGGGGGAGACCATGAGGTCAAAGAGAAAGTGTAAGTTTGTTAAAAAGCCAAACAAACCGGATTAAATCTCATACAACAGATAACAGTAGGTAACTGGTCCTAGAACTGTCCTGTTAATGCAAAACAGCAAAATACTGAGTTCTATAGAACAAATCCATTAATTATTTAGAATGAAATCTCCACAATGCAAATTTTACTAGAGACAAGTACCAGCTATTACGTCTGAGTGTGGATGTGTGTGCTTGCCCAAAATAGGAGGTGGTGGGTGTTGAATATAATTTGTTTTCTGAGCTTAGAAGGAGCAGTTTTCTCTACCAGAAAAAGAAAAAAATAATGTGTAGGACAAAGTAAATCCCATGTGAAAAATTGAGAATTTCTGTCTTCAAGTGGAAAAGATCAAGGTTTTGAGGTGAATCAAGTGTGTCTGCAGGTGGGAAAGGAGGGCCGGGGAGCTGATGTTCTGTGCAGACGAGGGGGGTGCCCTGTACAGGGCCCGGCGCACAGGAGCCCCAACACCCTGGAGCAGATGAGAGGCTGTGTTTGAGGATGCCAGAATAATCATGGTGCCAAGGGCCTACATATTCAAAGTGTTACTGATTAGGAACTAGAGGAGTTACTTAAGAAAATAATCTAAATACTGAAAATGATGCATTTTTTTCCTATACTGCCCTTTGTTCACTTCTCAGGACACTCACGGTGGAACCCAAACAGCTTGTGTCACCGCCAGTAGATTTTCAAATTAAGTTTCCTTGCCCAAAGTGTAATAGAAATGGTCCAAACGAAGGTCATTCAGGTAATAAAACAATACAGGGAAATGGGTGATAAGCAGCCTGAATCCTTTTCCTTCTTTGGGAGAAATTGTTCTAGTATAACGTGAACATTTGGACACAATCAGGCAACCCGCAAACTCCTCATCCTGCTTTTACTGAAGGATAGCCACGTACAATTGTACTCTTTGGCGGAAGTTACACTTTGAACTTTTCTTTATTCCTTCAAGAATATCGTATTTTTCTTTTATTGCTAAACAGACAAAGTCATACACCAAACAGTAAGTATTTCTCCTCCCGGCTCCCATTGTAAAGATGCTTTCCAAAATAGTGGAGCTGCTAAGAAATCTTAGAACAGATTTCGAGTTAGGAAAAAAAGCCTTTCTGCCAATGAAAATACTGTATTTTTCTTTCTAATGAGAAGTCTGATAAGAGACAAACTGCCACATAAAGAATGAAAAATACGTCCTGGGGTCATCAGACCTATTCCGGACCAGCTTCTTTTCTCGTCTGTGAAGGATTAAGAGCATTCTTCGAACTGCTTCACTTGGGAGGCTGTTTCCTTTTTAGTAATGCAGAAGTTCCACCAGGAGTAGAAATTGAAAATGAAACTCTTATCTATTTCAGAACAGAGCAGGTGGGCAAGTGAGCTAGGCTGAGGTTTATTTTTCTTTATCTTTTATCCTGTACATTTCACACCAGCCTGAGATTATAGTCCGCTGGGGATGTGATGTTCTAGAACACCTCAGTAGAGCCCCTTATAAATATTTATCCCTGCTCACAGGTGGCAGTGAGCTGAGGTCCTCTCTATCAGAAGGGGTGAAAACCAAAATACCATTTAGCTTCACAGCTAAGAGCTGCTTTGCTTTTTTCCTAGGTTTACTTGGTGTTTATGGAACAATTTGGAACTGCCAAGAAAAGTTCCCCCACGATGTGTGCAAATTCAACTTCAGGCCCTTTGTTGGTCCTGAGTATCATTCCCTCTGTCTGCACTGTAACCAGGGCTTCACAGGGAGGGTATCCATGGGGGGAGCCAGTGGGGACTCCGTGTGTTCTGGGATGGCAGGAGAAATATATGTATCTGTGTGGACCACAAAGCTTTCCTGGCTGTAGAAATATCTAATTATTATTTTGGAAAAATGCCCTTAATTCATTTTGTCCAATTACTACCTTTTGTCATACCAATCATTGCTTTTAGTTCCCTACCACATCATACATCCTCATGAATAATAAACACATTTTTATTCTGTTACGATGATAAATTTATTACATAAGTTGCTTTGTTTTACACAGTCAGTAAATACGTACACTTTCCTTGTTCACTGTATCTAACATCAGTACTATCATTTGCAATTCTTCAAACTTCTGGACTTTAAATAATGAAAGAATTTTCTTAAAAATGCTGCATTGGCAACATTATTTCAGTTTCTTAAATTTGGGTCATTTTTCATGTTGGACCTTTAGCTCTTGTTACTGGACACATTTCTGTAGGACCCTCACTCCTGATTTGGTTCCCAAATTTCTATCTCCAACTGTCTTTCACACTTACCTACGTAGACCCCCAGGCCTGCCCAGACTACGTGGCTAAAATCAAAACCTCTTTCTCCCTGAGCACATGCCTGCCTCTGTCTCCCTGTGTTAGTCGTCCTGCTCAGCATGGAGCTTTGGGTGTCGTCCTTAATTTTTCTACTTTATCCTTCACCCCACTCCATCCTAGAGACAAAGTCTTGGAACCCTGTGCTCTCTTAATGCCACTTGCTCCAGAGTCTCCCCTTCTTTCTCCCTCCTTCCAGTGCTCCCCTCGCTTCAAACCACTTACCTGCTTCCTGGATTGGTCTCCCCAGCTGCAGTTTTACTCCTAGTCCTTCAGAAGCTCCCTGAGGAACAACCTTATCTCGTCTTTACCTTCCTTAAACTCCTCACGACACCACCACCCCCACCACTTGGACAAAGGAAGATCCCGTTTCTTTAGCATAGTCATTTACCTCTCCTGTCTCCCTTCTCATCCCCTTGCTCGGCCCCTGTTTATATTGTACTCGATGTTCTTGTGAAGAGCCAGAGACAACCTTGAATCAACTAATCAACCAATCCAACTAATGAATCAATAGCATTCACTAAGGACCATATAAATAATGATGACCAATATCATATGCTATGAGTATAAGTAGAAATGTTTCATTTATTCAACTATTCTAAACTGTGTCTGAAACATTATTTTCATTTAGATAGTTCATGAGATTTATAAAATTCTAAATAAGACCTGTAATACTTACCCAAGCTTTACAAGTGAGTTCATTGAATCTAAAAGATGTCAAGTAACTTCCCCAAGGTCAACATAGGACATTGAAATAGGACTGAAGTTTAACTCTTACAAATCGAAGTTTATACCCTCCACGGCCCAGGTGGCGCCCTGTTCCTGCCCCATGAATTACCTAGTAACCAACCTAATCCCTGTAAATAGCCAAGCCAGACCACTCGGTTTCCATTTTTGTGTTGGTTTCTGGCACATCAGGTGCAACAGGCCAGCATCACCCCTGTGTTTCATATGTACCCCGAGAGTTCCCAGGCCTCAGAAGCAGACGGAGCAGTGCCATTCACTGGGGGGATATTTGAACACAAACAGACTGTCAGGAGTGGTTAAGACAGATATTAATAGACTGATTAACGGATGGTAGATCATTCCTGACGCTGCATAAGATTAAATATGCTAATCAGATTTTGGATTTAGAGAACCCAGCTAAATCCAGAGTAGAAAAAAATAAGGTACTCAAATCTTTACTTCATTTTCCTGCCTTTCAAAATCCACATCACATTTTATCCATGTCCCCTTCAGAGCTGTGCAGTTCATGAAGGCTTCACCCAGGTGAGCTGATTGTATGATTCTTTTTTTTTTCCATTTTGAATGAAGTATTTTCTGTTTTAATCCTTGCTATCCTAAATTAGTTTGCTACGCAAAGGATAATAGCAAAGGGAAAATTATTTGAATGTTATATATGAAGGCAATTTAACAACATATCTCTTCCCAGTCACAAAATATTTAACATCTGTAACTTAACTCTGTTACAAATAGAAAGAATGGACATATCCAAAGGAAATTCTAAGTAATCAATGTGTTCAGGCCTTTTTTGTTTATGCTAAGTTAGACATCATGTGCACATTCGAATAGGCACCATCCCCATACCCTAACGTGGTTATTTCAAATAAACTGTGCATTTGGAAAGCAAGGGAAATGCAATTGAGAAGCTAGGCTTCTACGCATAACTGAGATTCACTCTGAATGGAAGGAGGGCCAGTTCCTTTCACAGCTTTGAATTCCTACATCCTGCTTGGTTTTCACTGCAGCATTAAATTTACCAATCACCAAAATGATTTTCTCATCTGGTTAAGTGAGTAGAACTGTTCTTCATTAATTTTACCTTAATTTTACTTAAATAAATGTTTACATTTACTTTTTGAAATACATAATTACACCAAACATGGTTATTTGACATCAAGAAAGAAGACATTAATGATATCAAAATATTTTCCATCATACAATTGCCATTATTCTGTGTTTTAGACCTACTTCATAAGCAAAATATTTTGACCAATACCTTTTGTGTAAATAATCCTAAATCAAACTTTGCAGAATACCCTCTTTACAATCTTTCTGTCATTAGATCCTTAAATAGTGTCCCCAAGATTTCCATAGCCACTTATACTTACTATTAAAAATTCCTCACACCATCAAGGATTCAGCCAGCCCTGCTTACCTTCCTCGGGAGCACTCAGAATTTGAATATTAGGTAGTTTTTAATCTCCTTTTCCTCTCTCTGAATTAAAACTTTAACTGA